AGTGTAAATAGAATTTTACTCACACTCGCATAGAATTGCATTGCAATGAATATGTTGGTCTATGTATCTATTTATCTATATCATATATACATGTCTGTACATATGTTCCATTCGTGTACTAAATACTTTTTAAACGAAAATGACAATGTTTGCCCGTTCGCTTTTACCTTATTGGCAACGTAAATATAATTACAAGCTGAATTGACGCTTAATTGGAAGAGAGACAGCCGGTTTTTTCGCCGTCGAAGTAAGCCACCAGCCGGCAACCACTTAGAGCATAGAAAATAGACATCGGCATCACATCTAATGCCGGCTTTGGTCGGGTTCGCATAGTCCGCATGTGACGTTCGGAGCATGAGAAGTCGTGTGGTGCGTTTAGTCTCGTTTATGCACATTCGTTTTCTTTTTTTTTTGTGTTGTATTACGGCATCCCTCTTGTGCTCCTCCTCCTTGCAGTCGTCTAATGATGTATGACCGCAACTTGAGCTCAACTTTTAAAGCTTCGTTGCAACCCTACCGTATCGGTTATCGTAATTGCAGTTGTCGTTGTCGTCACAATTATTGTTGCTGTTGCTCTAGTGAGTGCAATAGGCGAGCAACGAGATGACAACCTTGTAAAATGAGTTTTCTTGACCTAAAGCTCACTGACATTTGTGCAATTGCTATTGTGAATTCGCTAGTAGGCATATTTTTGTTATTTTTTTTATGTATATGTATGTATGTATGTATGAATATATGCACATATGTTTGTAGGCACATATGTGGTAACAGCTTAAAATACTTGTGAGGGCCTGCAGGTGGATGTTTTATTTATATCGAGCGAGTTTGATAATGCAAAATGGTCTAAGCGCGCACCAAGTCTTGCCCCTAGGCCGAGCAGCTTGAGTAGTTGTAATTTTTCATATTTTCAGAAAAGCTGAAACTAACGAGCAGCTATAAATAAATGGATTTTTTTAGATATGTTTGTACAGGGTGCTACATCTATAGGTTTTACTTATGAGACTATGAGCTGATATTTTGTCGGGAGAATTTTTAATTGAAAATTCGGGGCTTTGTCGATATGCATTGTAAATAATATGCAACGTTTTTAATTATTCATCAATATTTATTTTGTTACCTGTAAAGTAATCCCCACCAGATGTAATACGCTTATCCCAACGATTTTTCCAGTCCCGAAATCACTTCATAACCACTTTTTGGGATGGTCCTCAGCTGTTTCAGCGAATTTTGTTTTATCTCTTTGATCGACTAAAAGCGGGTTATACGGAGCGGCAATTTCAATTTGGGGAACAAGAAAAAATCTTACGGAACCAAATTTGGAGAAGACAGCGGTTGATCGATGGTATTCATTGCGTTTTTGGCTGTAAATTCGGTCGCAATCGTGGCTCGATGCGTTGGTGTGTTAACATCGTGTAAAATTCATGAATTACTCTTCCCCAATTCCGGCCGTTTTCGACCGATGTTCTCACGCAAAGATCTCAATACATCTAAATAGAACTCCTTATTGATCGGCTACGCCTCCAAAATAAATTCATGATACACTAAACTACGAATATCAAAAAAAAAAAAAAAAAAAAACACGAAAAAAAACAATGGGAATCTTTTATTGGGACGATTCGCTTCATAACCAAATTTCCACCAAAATCATTCGAACGGACTCGCGAGAGATGTCGGGCTTCTTGCCATCTCTTTTACACTTGCCTGACGATTTTCAAGCACCATATCATTGACTTTTTTTTTTTAATATTTTCATCGGTTGAAGAGGTCGAAGGTACATATGTCTTCAACGATCTCTCGACTGCCTTTGAATGCTTCTATTATTAGTTTCCCTTTCTGTTTTGTTATTTTATTTCCTTTTCTTATGGGTTTCATCCTATCAAGATGCTTTGAAAATTCATCAGCCCGATTGATAATAACCTGAAAAGCTTTTTAGAAGTTCACTTTAATGGAGAACTTTGTAGTTCCAGTTTTTTTTTTTTATATATAATATATTCTTAATAATTACTTAAGTTATTACAGCTTTTCTAAATTGACTTAAATTAATGACTATTTATTTATCTGATTTTTCAGTATAATGACATAATTAGAAGGCCGTAAAAGGTGGCAGAAACAAGGTGTTTCGTCAGCTCTTAAAGCATTTTTCCTTTCTTTTTTGTTATCTTCCAATCGATTTCGTTCTACTATGGTATCTTTTGTTTTCAAAAATGATCAACGGGTTTCTGTCAGCCAAATTTCCCATGTTTTGCATGACACAGTCTGTAGCAATAAACCCTTTCTTACTTTTGCTGGCGAGAGATATAACTTTGCGTAACCAAGGCCAAACAACTCTAGACATTACCGATCTTATGTCAATATTCCAAATCCCGAAGCTATTTTTGATGATCAGTGGGTCTCCATTGCAGAAAAAGTCTTCAATGGACTCTATAGTTATGTCTCTTCAAATATAAAAGTTTATACGGTTAAGCTTAAGAAAACAGTAGGTATTATTAATATTAATCACAAGCCAACATTTTAACTAGCTACATTATATTATAGTTTTTTAAGTGAAATGCGCAAGCGAGTTATCGTTAAAACGCTAATCAATGAATCCATTGTAGTCTTTACCTTTACGAACTGCTAAAATTCTCGAGAATTCGCGTGCAGCGCTGTTCACTTTTGTTTGCAATTACGTATGCATTTGCGTAGAACCGGTTCACTAGCACCATTCATCGATCAACCGGCGCATTCATCGGACTGTTTGAGTGGTGTGAACTTGTTGCTCCAATTTTTGTAAACAGATTAAGGAATTTGTGCAAATAAACTACAGTGTAACTGAAATTAGATACAGATTATAAGCTAAACGCTAATATGTATCTAAAATGCTTCTCAAGCAGTTATAGGCGCAGGCACATCAGAAAGTACTCTGTTTTTGTGATTTTTTTTTTTTTTTTGTTTTTTGAAAAGCCGCGTAATATAATTTAATTTATTATTATTTAATATAATTTATTAAGTGAATAAAAAGAAGTTATGTTTAAAGAATTTAATGTAATTTAATAATCAGTGATTCATGTTGAAAACTCTTGGATTCTATTGATTCCATAGTCGATCTTCCGGATGACTTTATACTAAAAGGCGATCCACTTCGAGCTCTCCTACCTTTTTTTTTAGGAAATACACAGAAATTCATATTTATGGGGGAATGTTTATTATCAATCGAAAGAGTATTCTTCGCCATTTATTTTTTGAAGATTATTCGTTTCGAATGTTGGCCGCGGCTAGGTCGCAGATGATCTATCCTTTATCGTTGACTCGTTCGAGCATTTCGATTGATGACTGGTGAATGACATGCGTTTGCTTGTTTACATACACATTGAGTCAGAAATGAGCCTCATTGCTGAACAAAATAATGTATAATATTAAAAACTATATTCAGCTTCTGCTACGTGACCGTAGTTTTTTTTTGTGATTTTTTTCTATTACTCATCCTTAAGAAATTTCTGTGTTTTCCCTATTGTTGTTTATTAATTATTATTATCGCTTCCTTTTTTTAAACTAAATTCACAACTAATGCTCGTGCCTCCCATGATTTATGGTTTCTATGTTTCTAAATTGTTTGTTGTTATTCATTCTATTTAGCATTTCTATTTTCACGTATATTTTTAATCTCTTTGTGTTAATTTTTATTTTTCTTCTCCTGTTTGACTTTTGCTTTTTCTTCGACATTTTTTTTTACTGCTTTATAATTTTCCGTTTGTCATGGGAAATTTTTTCTTTAAAAAACAACAGCGTTTCGCACTCACTTTGTCGCTTTGTTTGGCTATAATCCAAAAATATATTTTTAAATTCAAATATTCGACAATAAACAATTCGACAAACAACAATATGAACATATTTTGGCCGCTAAAACAGTAACAAAAAGTTGACAAAATTCTTTACAACGCCAACATCTCATATCTCATATGGGTCAATCGAAAATACTTAACCGGCTCAATGTCATATTGAAGTCAGAATTTTCTACATAAACGCCACGTTCAGTCGTCTATTATTGTGTGATTTGTGTGCCTCATTAGTATAATGTATGATTAGCGTATGTTAATCAGATAGGTACAACAATGTGCCATTTCAGATTGTAGGAAACGTACGAACTCGTCTTTTTTTTAGAGAGAACACAATATATGTATATTTGTACCTTCAATAATCTGTAGTAGATTTGAGTTAGAGCACAGCATTGGTGGTTTGTGTGTCTTTCTCTAACGTATTCTTGAACATGAGTTTAATAACTTGAACGGGTTTCCAGGAATTTTGTAGAAGAGAACGTCAAGGATACCCTACAAAATATGCAATATATATTATATACAATGGATCAGCATGAAGAAGTATATACCTGAACTACTCCCCCAGTTTTTGAAATATCGATCTGAAATTTTACACGCGTTCATTTCTCTCCAAGAAGTTGCTATTTTGTTGGAAACTCCTTTATCGGCACACTATAGCATATAGCTGCCATACAAACTGAATGATTGAAATCAAATTTTATATAGAAAACATTTTTGTTTGACGAGATATCTTCATAAAACTTGGCACGGATTATTGCCTAAGACATCGATATAATTTCCGAAGCCATTATTTAGATTGCATTACTGTAACATATAGCTCTCATAGAAACCGATCGATATAAATCTAGTTCTTCTATAAAAAAAAACTTTTTTAATTGGCGTGATGTACTACCGAAATTTAGTATAGATTACTGCCTAAGTCAAAGGTACTCCGAATAAATTGTTCAAATCGGACCACCACTATATGCTAAGCTGCCATTCAAACTGAGCGATCAGAACTCAAGGCTACAATGCTTCGAGTATTATAAGACTTGGGTGTAATCGCAATTAACGTTTTTTTTCTTGTTGTTATTTAAGTCCATAATTTTAAGGGAAGCTCAGTAAATCTTAATTATAATAATTATTTATAACGAATGTGTCTTTTCCACATCTTTAACCATCTAAATTTTAATATTTTGTTTGCAGAGGAGGAAGCGTATCATTGTTTAGCAGCGCTTGTCGGCAGCAAGGAGAAAGTCTTTATCAAACAAACCAAATTACAGCATGAAGTCACCTGGAAAACTGTGATGCAAATTGCCAAAAAACATAGCGTAAGTAAACCGTACACCAAACCACACAACAAACTCTATAACATGTATACATACTTCATATGCGACTAACTTCTCATCCGCCATTTTCGCTAACACAGAAAAATGCCGTGACCTATTTTCAACGCATCTGCCCTGGTGTTAAGCTGGAACGCGTCTTCATGGATTGGTGCTGGTGGATATTAGCAGGTCTACCATTTCAGCATCTAGTACGCATTATGGATTGCTACTTCCACGAGGGTATTAAGGTGCTGTATCGTGTGGCGCTTGTGATAATCAATCTCTTCCACAAAGAGTGTCAATCCAACAACGAATGGAGTCCAGATAATATTAAGAATGACATTGGTAATGCGTTAATTAAGTTCTGCAAGAAAATACCAGTGTCACCAACGAAATTATTGCATGCCGCATTTAGTATTAGGGGACTGAGGTAAGCTCTAACTCTCTTTTACTTTTTACTCGCATATAATGCAAACGTTCACTTTCTCTCCACAGTTCCACATATATTTCTAGAATATTTATGAAGACTGAAATGATACTAAAAAGCCGTTCCGTTTTGAATAGCGGTTCAAAGCAATTAGTTAAGTCGAGATCCAGTGATAATTTGCCATCGAGTCAATCACAAGTCAATATACAAATGATGTCGCACACATTGACCATACGTGAGGTTAGTCCTTTTGCCGCGTAAAGGCATACTTTTTATCAACTAACTAATGATATGAAATTACTAAAGCTGTTTTGAGATTTAAAATTAAAATTTCAAAAATCTACTAAACCATAAAAGAATTTACATATATTTTCATTTCTCTAATTTCGTATTATATGCTCTCAAGCAACGTAATTTTCGAATTTCTACAACGTGTTTCTGATGCTGAAAAGTGACATATAATATTACTTTGCCCCTTTCCTTACTTCCCCAAGCCATTTACACTCACGTATCAAATCAATCCACTGTGCTTTTAGTACACCCACATCACAATTCTTTATTTCCCAGTTCACTCTAGCTGTCTTTGTATAATCAATTATTTTCACGAATTTGCCCACAATCGGCAGAGTAGATTTTCATTTATTTCACATTCAATATTTCAGCTTCTCAATTCAGCTTAGTCTAATTTTAAGCTAACTCAGTAATTATTTATAAATGTTAACTCAGCTTAATTTATGTATAGAGAAGAGCTGCAAAATATGTGCGAACGAAATGACATTATTAATGAAATTTTTCTTAAAAAACAAAAAAAAAAACGAAAGTGGTGAAAAAATTGCATTAATACCTTGACCAGCGATAATTTGTTATTTTCGGTGCCGTGTCAACGAAGTTAGCGGATAAAACGCGTCACAATCAGGGTTCCACATTTTTTATGCAATAAATTAAAATTAGATTTTCAAGAAATTAAAATTACGTTTTCAATATTTAATTCGTACTTAATTAAAAATCTGAAAATATAATT